CATGAACCCCAAACTCTAAACCCTAAACCCTAAACCCTAAACCCTAAACCCTAAACCCCAAACTCTAAACCCTGTACCTTCAACCCTGTGGATGCTCTGGGCCCGATAAATCTGTATCCTGACAACCCAGAACCTCACTATCCTTGCTCTAGGGTGTAGGGTCTGGGGTATGGGGTGTGGGGGTTCATGACCCTAAACCCTAAACCCTAAACCCTAAACCCTAAACCCTAAACCCTAAACCCTAAACCCTAAACCGTAACGGTGAGGGTTCACAATTTGACGGTTTAGGGAAAGCCCATGAGATCCCATGAGCCCGCGACGCCCCCTCCCGCCCCCGGATGCCTGATTGGGCAGCCCGAAAGCGCTCATTCGCAAGGCGCTCGATCATGGACTCGTCCTTCCGATCTTTTGAGATTGTCACTCACTCAGGCCCTGTGTGGAGGCTCCCACCCTGAATTTTGGGTTTAGGGTTGAGGAGAACCTTGATTTTGGTACAGCTGAAGATCTGAGTACAGGGCAGGCATTTCTAAGCCCGGAGCCCAAAGGTGAGAATCCGAAGCCACCCGCACTGAAAACCTCAACCCGTGACTGCTGCAGCGCACGAACCCAAGACCAGACATCACCGAACCAGGCCACATCTTGCAATACCCTCGCTCTGCTTTGATATCGTGGTACCCATATAGCGTGCAACAAAGCCCTTTAGTGTATGATTGCCTAGGTAGCCACCTGCTGCTACCCGAAGTTTGCACATGAGATTGCTCGGCCAACTACACAGCTTTGAATGTTAGCGGCTCGACTACCCCGTTGCAGCCTTCGATTGACCATGTATCGCTTCATCCATCTTCATCCTCAACACGCGCTTCCGCAACGTATGGAATCTCATACAAATAGGACTGTGAAAGCTCGCCTTACACTCCGTGAAGCATTGACGCAACATGACAGCCATACTCTCTCATGACCACCTGACGATGTAGCCCTCATTGCTTGCACTGATATGTGCAATCATACTCAGCATCGCTCTTTTTGTCTCCGATACGCGTACTTTGCACAACACCCCGCCCAGATTGTGTAGGCGCGAACGCAAGGCATCGGGAGTGGGCTTCAGTGGGCTTCAATTGCAATGGGGAGAGACCAGCAGTCACCATAGTGTGCATGATGTCTTCCCCAACTATACAGTAGCAAGGCATGGGGCGAGGGCGAGGGCTTAATTTGGGAGAGACCAGCAGCGTAGTGCGCATAGTGTCTTCCCCAACTATACAATACCTAGGCATGAGGCAAGGCGAGAGCTTCAATTCGGAGAGACCAGCACACCGTAGTGTGCATGATGTCTTCCCAAACTATACAGTGGCTAGGCATCAGGCGAGGGCGAGGGCTTGAATTGGGAGAGACAGCGTAGTGCGCGAGATGTCTTCTACCGATACAGTAACTAGGCACCAGGCGAGGGCGAGGGCTTCAGTTAGGGGCAGCCAGCAGACACTGTAGCGTGCAACATGTCCTTCAAAACTATACAGGCGCTCATGCAAGGCGTCATAGGGAAATAGGCAGTTAGACAGAGCACAGTAACTAACTAGCACCAGCAGAATCTGCGACATCAGCAGAGTCTTCACTTGTGATGAAGCCGTACGTTGACTCTCATCCTGAGCATAGCCGGCAAGGCACAAAGCCTCACAACTACCATCGCAGAATCAAAGGAAAGTGCTCTCTATATGGCACACATGTGGAGACTTGCGCGATGTCGTCACGGACAAGGACGCCCAAATCGTTGGCGTACCGATCCACGAGGTGCAGCTGTGCATTGAGAGTCGCGATGTCCACTCTCCCTGCGAGCTGCCAGTACGCTTGATTCAACTCCTCTGGCCAGTTGTCGGAATACTGGATGAGTCGCACTTTTAGAGACAGTCTCTGAAGGCCACGCTGCCTTCCCTGCCTCTTCGTGCCCTTGGTCAGCAAGCAATCATGTCCCACCCAGAATACAGGGACGGGAAAATCTGGCAGACCATCATCGAGGATCAGGGGCTCGGCATCCAGAAGGGTCACGATGCCACTCTTGCAGCAAACCTTGTCACCCTTTCGAAGATGGGAGGCTGGAATTGACTGAGGATGGTTGTACTGGCCACGCGGAATAACGACCCTATGGTCCACCGAAAGTGGGATTTGGAAACAGTGGCCGTGGCCGGTCAAAAGCATGCCGGCCGTGTCAATGGTGTTGTGCGAACTAACCGCATGCACCTTGATGGGCTGTGCACCGTGGGAGAAGACTATCATGCCAGGCTGAAGATCTTGGACCTTGATCCAGTTCCCATCCGCCAGTTCGAACTCCGTGTCCGGCATGTAGCACTTGGCATCTGTGTCAAAATCATCATCCAAGTCCAAGTCTGGATCGGAAAACAAGGATGCCGCGTCGCTATCATCTCTGCAGCTCAGTGCTTCGGACGTCGAGTCCTGACTGTCAACCTCATCTCGGTAGCTGAAACCACCATGTGTCGAATCCTGGCTGTCAACATCATAATCATCATCACCAGTCAAGTACCCACCCACAGCACCGCAGAGACGGCACTGCGTGTCGGCAGCACATGCCCGGCATACCACGTACCGTTGAGGCTTATCACACCCGTCACAGTGGCAGCAACGGAAAGCAAATCCTTCCCCCTCATCGCACGTGAAGCACCGCTCATAATGCAAATACATGGCGCCTCCCTAAACCAATCGGAGAACCGTCGAACCAAACCTGCTGCAGTTCGTATTGGGCTCCTGGGGCTTCAGCAAGCTCTGAGCCTACCTCCTAGAGTTGATCCGACACCTACCGTGCACACTCTGCGCATGGCTCCACTATGCTCGACAGCCAGATCTTGAACGATGGTGCTCTCTTCGTGCAGCACAGAACAGAATTTAATGCAAGAGCTGCAATACACATGGGATTAAGAGGAAAGACGCCAGGGGTGCTGTTTGCAGTGCGAACTACAACAAAAAAACAGTCCCCTGCCGTTGCTGAGAAAGCTCTGAAGCCGGCTTCCTGTGCTTCCGAAGATTGATGCGCCGAATTGCAGCTTGACAGCAGGATTTGTGCCTAGGTACTTGCTAGGTCACGACATGGTACCTCCCACACCCTAAGCCCTTACATAAGCCCTAAAGCCCTACACTGCAAAATGCAAAAATGGGGCCCCGGTCCAGCTTCCCCAGGCGAACGGCCAGCGAGGAAAGCACGAGGGGCCCAAGTTGAAAATGATCGCCCAGGAGGAAGACCTGCGCTATACGGTTTAGGGTTTAGGGTTTAGGGTTCAGGGTTTAGGGTTTCGGGTTTAGGGTTTCGGGCCGCTCTACAGGTTTTCTGTAAGGGTTCCCTTTGAGACTCATTTTCAGGGATTATACAAGGGTTCTTTCATCTGGGGGATCTGATACTGCGAATCAACGGGATGCCATTAAAACGAGATCCGGGCGCACTGGGGATCTCGCATGCTCTTTGAACCCGATGAAAAGCCCCGTAAGAACCTTAAGAGCCAAACGTTTATGGGTTTAGGGTTTAGGGTTTATAAGCCCCGTAAGAACCTAAAGAGCCAAACGTTTAGACGATGTTTGGGGTAATCAGCAGTGTGTTGTATGTGACTGCGGGCCAAAGGAGGGCGCTATACTCGAGATTCCAAACTGTAAACGGCCAAACCGGAGTCCACAAGTCCTAAACCCTAAACCATAAACCCTAAACCCCTAAACCCCTGAAACCCCAAACCCTGCCCCCGCGAGACCATAAGCCTTAATGTAGGGGCCTGAATAATTAGAATGGGGTTTTGGGGGCTCCTCAGTATAATTATACTATAGTATACCCCAAACCCTATTCTAAGTATTAAGGCCCAGATATTAAACCCCAGCCAGCCTGAATCCGAGGTGCTGTCCCAGAGACTCCACGACCCCTTCAGGAATACTGTGCACCTTCAACCAGAATCACATTAAAGATCCCTCCATGATTGAGAGGAGACTTCTTACACCTATAATACCCTACGAACACCCTATAATACCACCCTATCATCTTCGTAAATGACTCTCCAACCGGATGAAAAAAAAAACGCCCCTTGCGCAGAGATTTTGGAGTTTCGAAACCCTAAACCCTAAAC